GCCCATTTTGGGGGTGGGGGCCCGTACTTGCATGTAGATTAAATTTCCAAAGTTTCAGCCCCGTAGCTTTTGCCGGTCTCGAGATGAAAAGTCGGTACAGACGCGCAGCGCACACACAGACACACACACAGACAGGCAACATCTCGTCAGTATGCGTTTTTTGCATTGCATTTCTGCAAAAAACGCATAATAAAATGAAGTTGAGTAAAATAAAGTAAGATAAACTTAAGTAACATCAAGTAAAGTAAGGTAAAGTGAAGCAAAGGATAGTAAAGCTAAGTAAGGTGCTTAAGAGATCTGCAAGGATCAGGATTTCCTTGGTACCTATTTTTTTGTTGATTGGCTTTCTCCACCGCGCCATTTGCCCAACGCCGTGCCTTAGTTTTACTCCAGCGAGTCGTCTGCATTGTTGCATTTAAATTTATGAAATCTGATGCGTTTTTTTTCAGAATGTGATAAGCGAGCAGAATGCAAATAATAAGAAAGTAGTGAAATTTGCCACCACACCGCCAATGTCTTCTTATCTGGTTGCGTTTGCCGTTGGTGAATTGGAATATATTGAGGTAGCTACTTCTCTTACTTTTTTTTCAGTTGTTTTGAGTAATTTACATTTTTTCATAGAATTTGATATCTTTCGGTGTTCATGTGATCCGTTAACAGCTGGGGAACGTCGAAAACTGTTTTGTTGTGCAAGAAAAGCTCTAAGAAGCATCTGAAAAATTATTGCTTGATCTTCTTGTGCTTATGCAAAAACAGCGCATTCTCGAGGATTATCATAAATCGTGGAATTCGTTGAGGGCACCAGCTGAGGGAGTAAACTAGATTTTTAAGATAATCACGGCACACCGGATCACGTTTTTTCATGTCATAAGCCGTTTGATTGGGCATTTTAGGAATTTCGACCTTTTATAGACTACATCCAGCCAACGGACATGCTCTGAAGTTTTATATGATAGATGGCAAATATTTTACATCATTTTTTTTCACTTATTTTGATTTTTTTGGCGCTATTTTGCAGGGCAAGACAAATGGCGGTTGTTTGGTACGAGTGTACACGGTCCCAGGCAAAAAGAATCAGGGTGAATTCTCGTTGCATGTTGCTGTAAAGGCACTGGACTGGTACAGCAAATGGTTTGGTATCGATTATCCGCTGCCAAAATGCGATCTCATCGCCATTCCGGATTTCAGCATGGGTTTGCTTCTAGGCTTTTTTATCAAACTTTCTGAATTTGGCTAATGCATTGTACTGTGATGCTTTGATCATCTGCCACTTTGTACTGTAGCACACTTTCACCATCAAAATATCTGGCGGTTAATGTTATTGAGCTGTTGTAGCTAAAATTGCATCACCTACGAGTCAGCCTGCTGGCGAATGACAGGATCGCTGTCATACATTTTCCTATCTTCGTCCTCCTTTTT